ATTTGAATGATTTTACAGAAGTACTCTTTTAAACATGTCAAGTCTTTTGTCACTTTTGAGCTACAGTAGAACAACAGCGTCTTGGCTATCAACATGGTATTTACATATATTTTTAAAGGGAACTTTGAGGCTTCGTAGAACTTACTGATAAAGAAAGACTCTGATATATATAACACTTGCCAGGATGTTTATCTGTTCATTGCTCTAGATATGAGAAATAATCTGCTGACCAGGTGCTCAAGCATATTGCATGCCTGGCATTTAGACGGGTGGGGACAAGGCTCAGGCTCATTCTTCCTGAGTAAAATTCATTCAAAGATGTGTCAGTTGTGAATCACAAAAGGAAAGATTAATCAAATCACTCCAACTGGCTGATTTACTCAACCAGAAAGTGCTGTTTGGCACTATCATTAAAGTCCCACTGAAAGCAGCTCTTAACTTTCAAACCTGTTGTGAGAGGCATCCTCCAAAACAATGCATCCCATGGAGAGAAACACAAGGATCAAGGATGAGAAGATGAATACAGAAATGTTAAATATATTTTTTATTTGATTATTTAGTTTTGGCTAAACTTAAAATAAAACAGAATGAGGGAGAGCAGCAACACTTTTAAGAAGGTTAATCATTAATATAATGATAAATGGGGATTTTAGCTTGATGGCAATTAAAAAACATACAGGGTTGGGAGTCTATAAATTATTCTACTGCCCTCTTACAATTTGAGGCCTAAATACATATGACATACATGCATACGCTCAGCTCTCCAATCTTCACTGCATCAATTACAAAATAGCTTGCCAATTACTTTTCATTAAAAAAAAATCGTGAATTCCTGACAGAAATTCCCACTGTGCTGTCCTACTGTAGGCTATTCCCATGATTCACCATTCTGTATCATCACATTAAACATGTGCTACAAAAGGCCTCACCTCTTTGTTCAGGGACTGTATGCTTGTTTAGAACAACATCACTGTTGAGCCATGATGTTGTGGCTGAACCTGATTTGCATAAAATTATGAAATTAAACAAAGCGCTGCCGGCAAACACTGTGAGACCTCATTTTCATGCAAGAATGCAACTGGACAACCACCAAGTTAATTTTCAGATAAAATGGTGATTGATTAAGAACTGACCATCCGGCCATCATCTGTAAGTGAGTAAGTGATCACAATTAAGGACTCATAGCCCACAGCAGTGTACAGCATCAGAGTGGAAAAAGGACACAAGGTTGCCTTTTGATTTGCTTTCAAACTCTTCACAAAATTCCTTTTAAGACTGAGAAACTGTGACATTGTTTATGAGTAAATGACTATTCATTCATCCTCGGCTCATTTCCACGTAGATATATGAGTTGGACTGCAAGATGGCACTGATATAGAGAAAGAAAATAATGAAAGAGATAAATGTAATACAGATGCCAAAATTGTGACCTTTGATACAGTATCATTCTTTTTTACTTAAAAGAGAGTCAAGAAAGAGTCAACCTTCTGTGCAGTTCTCCTCCTCCTTTTTGTTAAAGGGGACCTACCTACCTATAAAATGCACTTTGTGATGTCTTTTAAACATAAATATGTGTCCCCGGTGCGTCGGGGAACTCACGCAGCGTCAGAAAATAAAACCCTCTCTCTTTTCCTCCTTACCCAAATCTTTTAAAAACAGGTATACAACGAGCGGATACAGATTTGCTGTCGATCGGACGTCATATCGGCAGCGGACCCACAGAAAGTTTTCTTTCTCTTCTTTTTTTTTCAAGCTAAGGACCCAAGATCCGCGTTTCTCTAACAGGGCTGCAAAAGAGGGGTATGAGCAGTATGAGGGATGGCTACAATGGGTGATCTGTTTGGTATTTTGAAAAAAAAACTTCACAGACATGTTTTGTATAGGTATGGCCCTACAATATATTTCAAATATAGCATGATAGCTCCACTTTAAATTCAAATGCCACCAGCAAGGAAAAATCTATTCTGGTTGAAACGTTTTTTGGGGGGCCTTTTTTATTATTTGAAGCAAGATCTGAAATAAAAAGAGGCCTTTAAGAGCAATGTATCCTGTTAAATCAATGTTTCAAATGGTAAATGTTTTTATAATTATCTTGCGGAGAAGTAAAAAAACGAGTACTGAGCCACAAAATAATTCTCCACCCAATCAAAAACAGGGGGTGTTCATGCTCGTACACAGGACAGGGGAAAGGCCATGGATGCGTACGAGAAAGGCACTCTGGGATATTTGGAGGAGGGTAGGTGTTTGGAAGTAGACTTTAAATAGTAACAATCTGATATAAGACCCACTGTGGATCGTGTTCACCCAGAGTTACAAGCTATACAATATGCTCACACACCTTCTGCTCCAAGCAAAATATCTATTCTCCAAATAGTGATCTCAACTCTGGTGCACAAACCACCACATTTACTGACACTCCATATAATCCCAGTTTCACAACCTCCCCCGATCTCAGGATAATAATTTCCAAGTGCAACATCCATCTTGGTGACAATGGGCTTTGTACTGGCAATCAAATGCTAACTTAACAACCACATTTTTAAGCTATGAAATGCACATTCAGCAATAAGAGAATCACTCAATATTGGAAAAAAATAATTTATGTGAGAATAGATACATTTGCTAGAACCCATGGACACTGACTGGCTACTGAAGTCAACATTCAAACAGCACCTTTCAATGATGCATTGAAGCTCTTTTGGTTTATTTCTTACTTCTCCAGCTGGAGCCACCAACTGCTGTTTCTCTGGGGTTGGCTAGGCATAAGGGAGGTAGGCTTGACATAACTCCGGCCCACGGATGTCTTACTTACTGAGTATGCTGTTGGTGTGGGAGGGAGCCTTGCTTACAAAGTGCAATTTAGCTTACACACTATACGATCATTTATAACGTTAATTAATTAAATGCTTCTAAAAATAAAGTTGAGTATTTTCGATGTAATAAAAGGCAAGGATTACATACATATTTAAAATAAATCCTTGTCAGTTTGTTCAACCTTGAACAACCCTTGAAATCCTTCATCCTAAATAACTTTGTTTATTTACCTTTATTTACCGAGGTATATAGACGACCTCCTCCATCACTATGAAGCATCCAGGAGTCTCAGGTCTTCTCTGTTCCGAGAATAACAACTAAATATGGAAAAGCAGCTTTTAGTTATTATGCCCCAACAATCTGGAACAAACTGCCCAAATCGTGCACGTCCGCTGAAACACTTCCGATTTTCAAATCCAGACTAAAAACGCATCTATTTGCCGCTGCTTTTAATTGAGCTGCTCATACTCACACTACAGTATGCCTTTTAGTCATGTATTCTGTACCTGCTGTGTTTATTTATTTATTTTATTACATTATCTTTGCTTTTTATGCCTGTTTTTAAATGCCATTTAATTATATATTTATGCTGTATTTGTTCTTAAATGTCTTTTGTTTTTATTTTGTAAAGCACTTTGAATCGCGACGTGCTGAAAAGTGCTATATAAACGAAATTGCCTTGCCTTGGCTTATATTTTTGAGTTTTTTTTACAACATTAGAGTACAAGACATTCTAATTATTAAGGACTTAATTGGAAGTTGTTTGCTTTCTGAGAAGATGTATACTACTCTCATGTCTGTCAAGCTTAAAGCCAGCTTACACGGTAGGCCTACATCCCATTGTTACATTTGCTTTCAGGCTAAATGCTAAGCTAAGCTAACTGGCTGCATGCTGTAGTTTGGTATTTATCTGAATGGTTTTGATCTTGTCATGTAACTTCTGGCAAGAAAATAATTAAATCTACATCAATACATTTCTAACAATATGTTTTTCTTTTAGTGTTTTTTCCTCTGCCATGCTTATGCATATGTTATCAATATATTGCATGTCTAAGTATCATGTTGGAGTGACTTTGTGTATATGTAAATTGTAATTGACACAGAAAACAACCAAACTAAACCAATCATTACATAAATGCACACTACATGGTACCATAGGCGGATTATGAGTCAGAGGGCACTAGCAAAATGCTGCACCATGTCTCCTACATTAGAGGAAAACTGTCGTTGTGGGGATCTCCCACGTGTCTTTGTGATTTGAGACTGTTTGTAGTGATTTAGCATATTTCCTTTTTTATGTCTCTTTGTGATTATATAATTTGTGTGTAGCGTCTCTTTGGGGTCATTTAGCATCTTTTCCTGGCCTGAATGCGTCTCCCTGACACTTTTAGTCCATTGGTATGTTGGCCTAGTTATATATTTGGTATATAAGCTGGTACAGTATGGTAAAACAGCTCCAAAAGTGTAGCTTAATTGCTTGATAATTAGCTAATTATCAAGCAATTAAGCTACACTTTTGGAGCTGTTGTGATTGTCTTACCAGAAACTTGCAAGTTACACCTTATACTTTGTCTTAATTGACTGGTGTGGGCTTTTATTTTTCTCCAAATTGCATAAGAATCTAATATGAAAGTTTCTCCAGGCGGTTTATTTTTTTGAAGCTCGAATCCTCAAATAACCCCTTGTCTGAGGGAGGGCTTTTGGACGATGTTGTGCTTTTCAGGGTTCCTATTGACGCTTTCCTGAGGGAAGAAATAATTTCTTACATATTTGTAGCCCCAAGATGTATCCATCTTCACTGCTTTGACAAGTTTATTCATTTCTCCCCCGTACAAAGAGTTTGTGCATGACAGGTGATGTGAGGTGAGCCAGCTTCTTCCTGTCTGGAGATGTGATATATTTATCTTTTTATTAAACCCTTCAAATGTATCTTATGAAACGTGTATATGTTAATAAGGACTTTTGTTAGCTGGATTGTTAGGAAAAGACCAGAAAACAGAACTCGAAGAATGTTGGGTGTTGTAAATCACAGGAAAGACCCGGCCATACAGTAAATAGCTGTTGAAATAAGCTGATATAGCTAATCATATGTGTGCAGTTGTTTGTCATTGGCGGGGGAAAGGAGTAAATGTAATCCTTCTTAGGATTGAGACTGGAAGCTCTGCAGGCTTCAGATAAACAGGTTTTATTTATTGCTGGTCATGCACACACACAGAAATCACCATTGAGAACAAACAATGTCCCGCAGAAACACTTCATGAGCACAAATCCACAGCATGAGCCCGCTGTTATTGCACTGGAAGGCAGACTAATAGCTCCTCTGTCCTCAGCTGAACTGTGGAGGCGACCAAAGGAAGAGGTTTACACAGGAAAGGAATTATAATTACACCTTCATTCATTAAATGCTCTGCTCCGCACACGCCCACTTTGGAGAACATCAACAGATCTTAACGTTGTTTTAACTGGTATTGTCCTCACCTCACCTCTGCTGGCCTACCAGATACATTTGAATAGGGGTATACTCAAGGTTGAGTTTGCTATTTTAAGTCCACAATGAAGCCAGTTCGCAAATTAAAACATTTTATAATGCTTCAAGTAAGTTTTGTCGATGCAATGCTGTCTGCCAGTCCGTCCAGTCTTTGGGGAATTTGTTCTTCTTGAGATTTCTGTAAATCCATGCAAAGTGGTTGTATTGACATAAATAATCCTGTTTACAAACACATGCTTTGTAGAATGTGGAGCATGTATAGGCTGCTGTAAGGTTTAGGTACACGGCTGAAAGTTGGTTAAGAATGGAAGTGTTTGTGTGGCAGCAGTCACACTCGTCACATGTTTAGACAGGAAACACTCCATAACAATGTGTTAAATACAAGGTTATAAATATGTGTTTGCAATAGTGTATTTATAATAAACTGTTGAGGTGTTATTGATGTATTACTTTCAATACACAGTTATTCAAACCTTAACCTAGTACTACCAGTTGAATAAGCATTAAGAAGAGCTACATGGATGACCCATACACTAAAATGATTACAGTGTTACAGGAACATCAACATGTTATCCTTAAATGTGTTTTTAACAGTTTTCCTCTAAATGCATGCAGTTAGATTTCATTACATTCTAGTGTGTTTGCCCCTAAACTATCGAAGGTTATGAACTATAAACTGAGGAGTATAAGTATAAATAGGTATTCATTTGAAATTATTTCACTTTATATTATTTTGTTAAACCTGTGCAATTGCTAATTCCTCAGTTTGTAAGATGAATTATAGTTGTAAAAGAGTTTGACAAAACATAATAATGTGCAGGATATTGGTAATACCTTCCAATGTTTGCTAAGCATATCTTCTTATATTTAGTCTGGAATAGAAAGTACATATAACAACATGTATCAATTTTTGTGTCCAATAGAAGGGATCAAATGTAGACAGAATATTTGTGCATGGCTGGTTAAATGCACAAACCTCTGAAACGGATTTTGTTGTAGCAATAATAAAAAATACTTCGTAGCAGTTAGAAATGTTTGACTTATTGGATGTTAATGCAGTATCACTATTGAAATCCCGTGTACTTTTAGGATTCTTGTTTTGAAGTTTGTATCTTGATGGTTGAATGCACTTTGCTTTGGATAATCCGTTTAATAATTCATACTTAAAAATGTAAAGAAGACTGAATGTATAGGCCTATTCTTTTTAATCGATATGGTTGAAAACAGGAGTAATGTTTTTGAGGCTTTTATTAAACGGGAAAATAATATAATGACAAAATAGTTCATATTCAAACTAAAGTTAAGCGTCATTTACACAACAATTACTCAAATCATAAAACACAAGCTGTCTTTCTTTCGTGTGCTTACTCCCAGAATCACGGTTGGATTTAAACATCCTCAGTTTTAATTCGTGCAATCGTCAAATAATAGCCTGTGTATGTTTTATAACAGTTTGCCTGTGAGTCTCTTATCTCCTTGCGTCTTTCCGCACAATGGCGCTGGAGCGCGCAAAGGGTTAAAAGGGGGCTCCCAGCAATCCTTTTAACAGGCAGGTGCCCCGCCAGCGCCAGCCCAAAGTGCACCACTGTAAAGCTTCTTCCAGCATCTCAGGAGCAACTCATATCTGTCATGATGCGAGTCATGTTAGCGGCGATGGCTGCAGATCGTTAGAATAAATAGAGCATCTCCAAACCGGATCAGCTGACACACGGCGTCCTGCCTCGCAGACTCACACACGTGTGATGCGCTCTTGACTTCTGCCATCGTTTTCACTAACTTTTATAATCAAAGACTTTTACTGCTGGATCACAGAAACCTTTAACTAAAAACTGTTCCGCGCTGACGGAGCTGTGTCCCGCTCTGGAGATGTGGTGGATGCTGTTTCCACGCTGGATCTGGTTCCTGGTGTGTGTGTCAGTGTGGTGTGTCAATGTCGGAGTTCTGCCGCATATCACCTACTCACACCCGGGGATCTGCCCCAATGACATGAACCCTAACCTGTGGGTGGATGCCATGAGCACCTGCACCCGAGAGTGTGTATCTGATCAGGTAAATACATTAAAGTTACATTTTAGAATTAACTCTTCTGTTTGTTTAAAGTATTTTGCATGCACTTTTTTGTATTATAAGTACTGTTTAAATCTTCTGTTTCAATTTCTGCTCTCAACTGTAATGAGTTTTTTTTTTTTTAAATGTTTCATTGTTAAAATACTTTAAAAAATACTTTTAAAATACTTTCCAAATACTTTCCAATATATTCCAAATACTTTCCAAATACTTCCCTTCATCTCCAACTCTCTTCTCCTCTTACAGGAGTGTGAATCCTTTGAAAAGTGTTGCCAGAATGTTTGCGGGAACCGGAGTTGTGTGGCAGCCCGTTATCTGGACGGGAAGAAAGGCCCCATGGGAATGCCAAAGGAGGCCTCCTGCGCCAGCTTCATGTGCAACCAGCAGGGCTCTGAGTGCGACATCTGGGACGGCCAGCCGGTGTGTAAGTGCCGGGACCGCTGCGAGAGGGAACCGCACTTCACCTGTGCCTCTGATGGCATGACCTACTACAACAAGTGCTACATGGACGCAGAGGCTTGCTCCAAGGGCATCAGCCTGGCTGTGGTCACCTGCCGCTTCCACCTCACCTGGCCCAACACCAGCCCCTCGCTGCCCCAGGCCACCACTCTGCGCCCAACCACTGCTCCTCTTCCGGTGACCCCCCCCACTCCCACCGAGCCTCAGCCTCCCATGGTTGTCAGCAGCCCGGTTCACCAGACCGTCAAAGTGGGCGACACCGCCAGCTTCCTGTGTGACGTGACAGGCCGCCCCCGACCTGAGATCAGCTGGGAGAAGCAGCTGCCGGAGGGGCTGGAGAGGGTGGCCATGAGGCCCAATCACGTGTGTGGGAACATGGTGGTCACCAACATCGGGCAGCTGGTCATCCACAACACGCAGCCGCAGGATTCAGGCGTCTACATCTGCACCGCTCAGAACCCCTCTGGATCTGTGAAGGTCAACAACCCGCTCTCTGTCCTGCCCACAGAGCCACCCAAGACCCCTGACCCAGGGAACGTGACCCACTGCCTGTCTGAAGAGTGTCTAAAACCGCCTGATAACCCAGAGGATTGTGGGAGCGAGATGGAGAGAGTCAGCTGGTACTACGAGTCCAAGACCAACAACTGCTTCTCCTTCACCCACTGCCACGGCAGCAACAGCCCGCAGCCCAGGAAGATGTTGGAGACGTACGAGGAGTGTATGCAGTGCTGCGGCCCCGAGCTGGCCGGTCCCTGCGGCCTCCCCAGTCTGCAGGGCCCCTGCAAGGCCTACGAGCCGCGCTGGGCCTACAGCAGCACCCTACTGCAGTGCCAGTCCTTCATCTACGGAGGCTGTGAGGGCAACAACAACAACTTTGAATCCAAAGAAGCCTGCGAGGAGATGTGCCCCTACCCGAAAAACCACCACTGCAAGGCCTGCAAGCCGCGGGGCAAGATGGTGACGAGCTTCTGCCGCAGCGACTTTGTCATCCTGGGCCGCATGACAGAGCTGACGGAGGAGACGGACTCGGGCCACGCCCTCGTGACCGTGGAGGAGATCCTAAAGGACGAGAAGATGGGTCTCCGGTTCTTTGGCAAGGAGCCTCTGGAGGTCACCTTCCTCAACATGGACTGGAACTGCCCCTGCCCCAACATCACGGGCGCTGCCGCTGAGGGGCAGGTCATCATCATGGGCAACGCCAACGACGGCATGGCAGTGCTTCAGCCGGAGAGCTACGTGGGCGCTTCAAGCCCGCGACGTGTACGGAAGCTGAGGGAGGTCATCTCCAAGAACACATGTGACATTCTTAAAGCGATCACCAACAGCCCGCAGTAGGGTCAGGGTTAGGGACATAATGTTAGACTGCAACATCCTGTTCTCTATGGAACATTCATGCAGTGATGTTTTTTAGGAGTTCCTCATGTCCGAGATCCTTGTCTCATGTTCTGTGTCTTATATGTGTGTCTGCAGAGCTTTTGTTATGTCATTGGTTGATTGAATTACCATGTACTGTATGCAACACAAGAGACATCCTTCATGATCCTCTCGCTGCCTTAATCTCCCAGACTCAGAGGTCCTCCATGCCCTCTCCTGCCTCCAGCAGAAATGGACGTTGCAGACCTGCATTGAAGCAAAAAACAGACCAGTTGAGTTTGATCTTATGGACATGATTTAGGTGTCACAAATCTTTTGATTCTTTCATTTGCTAACAGTATTTCCACTTTCTTCACACATGTACCCATTATTTCTTACTTTTTGAATGTTGGTGTAAATGCATCCATAAACCTGTCCAGGGGTTTGCACAAGCAGTGAAACAGGGTCGATTTGGATCATCCAAAGTTGTAATATATTTGATTAACCATTTTACCACATTTTCTGACGGTGAGTCATTTATTTTTTTATCTTGCTTTAACTTCTTGGATATTTATTATCATGTAATCTTTTCTTTGTCCTGTTTTTGTATCACATTCTCTATGAAAGAAAATAAAGTTTTGTGATTTTTCATCAGTCTCCTTTTCCTAATCTTTGAGTGCATCAATATACTACTGATTTACATTTTGAGAAGGTAAAGCTTAAAGGACAGGGTAAACAAATTGATTGAAATATTAGTTTTTCTTTTGGAGGCCGGAGAGCTGCTCCGTACCTGTGTGGTTCCTCTGACAGGCTGTGATGAAAGAGATTTGGGAATAGCTGATCCCCAGCCCAACCGGCCCCCGACCCCATGCTCAAACACAGAGCCTATCCATTCTACAGACCCCTGTGGCATTGTAAAAACTTCACCCTATTTTGCTTTGCCTCCACAAGCCGCTCTAATTGGGTAAGGAGCCCAGGCAGTAAAGCTCAGGTCCAATCCCTTACGAGCTATGTGTTTCATGCCGTGCCAACAGGCGTCTCTGGGTTACTGGGAACAGGCCTTGGTGGGCTTTCAACGAGGGTGTTCCACTTCCCAGATGAGATTCTGTTTCTCCCATCCAGAGCAGAGGGAGGCAGCAGCAGTACGGTGGTCCTTTACTGGCAGAGCAGCGGGGAGCGGGGAGCTGCACTTCAGCAGCTGTTCAGACTCTGCAGCAGAGAAACTTCACATCCAGCACCTTGGATCACATCGGAAAGCAAAACAAATAACACAAACCTATCAACAGTTATTTGATACACTGCTTATTCAAAATCACAAACTTCTTGTTTAACAGTTAAACACTATAACAGTGTTTCTAGAATGAAGTTCCTGCGAAAATGTAAAAGTTATATATATAGTATATCTATAGCTGTGTGATATATAGATACACATATGTACTATATGTATGGTACATATGTGTATACTAGTGCTGTTTGGTTTGGAAAAACAAAAGCCAGATGAAAATGTACTACTAGAAGAGATGGTACCAGAAGTCCACAATTATTGCTCACATATTCCAAATTCTGAGGTAGTAAGTCAACTTCTAAGCTGACTGACCCATAATTTCCTCAAGAATGTAAAATAATATTTCATAATTTTATCTAGTAGGATGGTTGGGGGATGTGGTAGGAGTACGAATTGTATATATCAAATTGCAAACATACTTATGTGAAACTGAAATCAAGTAATAATGAAAGAAAAGAAAATAGAACACGGCAAAAGTACTGTGGTAAACAAGAATTTAGAGAATACATAAAGTATTCTCTAATTCTTGTTTACCACAGTACTTTTGCCTTTTCAGCCTCTTAAATGAACTTGTTGGTTAAACTGATCAAAACTCAACTCCACACAAAGACCCCTGGATTTGATTTGGGGTCTTACTTTTTAATTCATTCAATTATTATGTACAAATGGTTTGTCCCTTTAGACAGCAGAGAGGGATGCAACAAATGTCCCCAGCTGGATTGGAACCTGGGACCTTGAGGCTCCTGGTTTAAAACAATTTTGCAACACTAGAGATCAGCCAGAGAGGCTGGGAATCAATGATTGAGGGCTTCGAAAACCACAGACAGGTACTTGTGAAATATTACATGATTTTATATTTTTGGTACATGTGTGCCGCTTATTGTCCCTCTGTATCTTGCATTGAGTTCAAGAACTTAACAGCATCACAGGTGCCCCCTCCAGTTCAGCTGAGGGAACTGGTTCACCTATCAAACTGGTTCACCTATCAAACCGAAACCCCTGAAAACAACCACAAATGCTATCAATTATTTTTCTCCTCCCCTGATGTTATGTCCATTAATAAAACACCACTAACCACTTCAATGCGTAGTCCGGCGTATACAAAAACACAATTTGCCATCAATTAAAATTCAGCATATTCGAAACATGTGTGATCCTTATTTTTCGAGCACTTTTATGCTTTTTTAATTTGAGTTGGGCTCAGTAAAAGGGTACACGAGTTATGCTTTGATATGCTGTGCAGCATTTTTGCTCCCATTTTCTTTTCCTCTCTTATTTGATGGGGTCAACGCGTTCACAAGCTCAGTTCACACAAGGCAGGAGCAGTGGTGGTCCATGCGAGGCTCAGATGTAGATCTGCGGCAGGTAGAGAGGACACAGCAGGCAGCAGAGCGGGGGGGCTTCCTCTCTGAGTGTGTTTCTATGTGCAGCCTCAGTGTTGTGTGTGCAGGTTGGGACAGTAGCACCTGTGGAACACATCAGCTAGCCGGGTGGTTTAAGACCTTTGATTCATGACCTGCATCTGTTATGGCCATATCATTTTGAATGTCTATTGAACAGATACAGTAGCCACTCACACGCAGTGAGTGCAGGTGAGCAGGGTCTCAGGGCAGTATATCATCCAGGGGCAGCAGCTGGAAGCTTTGATGCTGGGGGGTCCGCTCCGGACGGGGAAATAAACCAGAAATGACAACAATCACATCGAGGGGCTTCACGCCAATGCTGCTGTGGCAAAGTGTCAACAGACCATAAGCAAGCTACGCTCATATAACACATACATACATATTTATTCATGCATTAACATATTTATTTGTATTACTATATAACGTTTTTGATTAACTATGCATAGTGACGTACACTAAAAAAACTAAAAGGTGGACTTTAAAGGGGACCTATCATGCAAAATGCACTTTTGTACGTCTTTATATAATATGTGTGTCCCCGGTGTGTCAGGGAACTCACCAAGTGTCAGAAAACACAACCCTCTCTTTTTTCCTCCATACCCAAATCTCTAAAAACGAGGCTGCAACGGATCTGATACAGACTGATCCAGATTTGATATTGTTCTGACATCAGAAACGGAGTGCTCTGCCTTCTAACTCTCCACCTATCAGGGGAATGAGAGGTTGCGTGGCATGGTAACAGCATGGTAACAGCATTGTAACATGACGCTCGTGCCTCGCCCCCCTCCTTTGCAGGGGGGGCGTGGTCAGCTGCAGCTCATTTGCCAAAGAATCAGCCCTTGTGAAGGCAGGGCTGGAATACAGCAAATAGAGCAAAATGAGGCATGGCTAAAATGCATGATCTGTTTGGTATTTTGAAAAAATAACTTCACAGACATGTTTTATAGAGTGGCAAAGTCCTTTCCCTTCCGGGAGAGCTCCATGGGACCTTATTTCGGAAAAATTATGTATTGAAGTCAATGGAGAGAGAAAGATTATCTTTCGATCCCGTTTGAATTGTGCCACAAATTACACATATGATGCTGGTCAATTTAAAAGATAACTTTGCAAGTAAAAAAAAAAAAAAGTGTCGTAAAACTGTGAACTAACACATTTGTTTGTGTGAAACGCTTAAAGACCAACTTCCAGGTTAAAGACACCTGTGAATAAATGTGTAGGAAAATGATGTATACATTGGATTTTTTTTTTTTATTATACAGAAATATACACTACAGTGACATCTGGCGTCGTTTTTGTAAGAAATATTCACTTCCGCATAAAAAAGCCTCGGCACGTGACCTCCGGCGTGTGACGTAACATGGGGGAAACAAGGGGGAGAGCGGCCGGTGTAACGTATTAATAAACATGGATCCCAATGCTAGTTTCGACACAGAAGACACAGAAGAAGTTGAACATGAATATTCGAATGCACATATGCATTCGAATATTCATGTTCAACTTCTTCTGTGTCTTCTGTGTCGAAACTAGCATTGGGATCCATGTTTATTAATACGTTACACCGGCCGCTCTCCCCCNACGACTTACCCTACAAAGAACACATGGATGATGAATCGTGGTGGGTTAAGCTTGCATATCTGGCAGATATTTTTAGCCACCTCAATGACCTCAACATCAGAATGCAAGGGAAGAATGAGAATATCCTGACAGCCACAGACAAACTCAATGGTTTCCGATCCAAGTTAAGACTGTGGCAAAATAAAGTCGCCAAGAAAAACATTGAAATATGTTTCCGCTGACATCCAGTGACCCAGCGCACAAGACAGCATTTTTTCTACAAGTTGTAGCTGCTCACCTGAGAGTGCTGGAGGAGAGGTTTGAGTCATATTTCCCTCCTATGAATGAAGACTACGATTGGCTCCGGGATCCGTTTAATCCTCTGTCATTAATATCAGCCACAAGTTTAAACAGCAGAGCTCAGGATGAACTCGCAGAGCTATCTATGGACCTCTCCCTGAAACGGAAGCACGGGGAACTACGTCTGGATATATTTTGGCTGCTTGTGGGACACGAGTGTCCATCCCTCTCAGAGAGTGCCATCAAGGTGCTTTTACAGTTTCCAACCTCCTACTTGTGCGAGCTGGCGTTTTCCTCACTCGTATATGTCAAAAACAAGACCTGGACCCGGCTGTCAGTGGAGCAGGACCTCCGCGTTGCGCTGTCCACTATCCCCCCACGCATCAAGAGACTTTGCTCACAAAAGCAGCCACAAGTGTCGCACTAGCACCGTGTAACGGTCTGAGAAATGTTTATGTTTGGATGTTAATTTGTGTGCCTTTCTTATAAATGTATGATTTATGATTTTGTCAATCAGTATTATCTGGATAGCGAAATGCAGAATGTTTCATATTCGGGATGTGGTTGATGAGTCACATGACCACAGTCAGGTCAGAGGGCATTGTTTCATCCCTCCAATTCTATTAAGTTATTATTTAATCTCAGTGATGATAGGCCTGCCTCTTTTGAAATCCAAATGTAAAATAATAACTGTATTGATATGTATTCGTGTTTTTACACAGGTAGGCCTACTATTTTCAGCCAAAACAAAAGAGCCTACTTAGTAGGCCTGTTTATAATATTGAATTCATCATAGAAATGGTGTTGACATTTTTAGTCTGGTTCTTGTTATTATGTGTGAATACATTATTTGTTCTATAAAATGTTCTATTCAATTAAATACACATTTGAAAACCAATTTATGGTGTATTTATGGTTTTTAGTTTAAGCTCTGAAGTGGTTTTTAAATCTACAAAAAGTTGGGGTGCCTTGGGGTCGAGAAATATTTTCAGGGGTGCCTTGGTAGAAAAAGGTTGGGAACCACTGGT